CAGGGTATTACAGAAGGAAAAAAAATATTAACGTAAACCACTTTTAAATAACAAAAAATGCCTCGCTGGCTCATCAGTATTGTCTGCATTGTAGGAAAGAAACATTTACTCGAGGAAACTTCCCATGTACCAAATTCACCTTACACAGATTTAGCATTTATGCCACTGCATTAGATTTTGAATCATAGTTATTGGTGTTGTTCCCTTGTACTACAAACTCCATCTCTTTTGGCTAAATCCTCTAGGATGACTGCTCAGAGCTCTGTATTGCCCAAAAGTTTAAGTGAAAATATTTCATTTGTACCTAGAAGTCTTTATTGCTCTTTGCAAAAACCTCTGAACATTGTGCCAGTTTCTACAGAATCCATTTTAAATATAAACTTTAAACTTATTAAGCCAATACAGAAAATTATCATCCCCACTGATGGTATACTTTTTGTGTGTAAATTGTAAATATCTGACAGCATATACTGGATTGTAACTAAAATGTCGAATCATAATCTGAGCCAAATTTTGCTAGTGGTATTAGTTCAGTGACCTTCTAAGAAGAGCTGAAATCAATTAAGAAAAGAGAGAATACAAATGTCTCTTTGCTACAAGTAAAAAGGCAGAAACTCAGATTTTCTAGCTCTTATACTACAGCTGTATTTGGATTAAGTTGGAGTTCCTGTATTCAGATGTTATCAAGTGAAATTGTTAGCAGCCCATTCATAATCCTTTCATGTATTACCTGGGTTTAATTACTTTGCTGAGGAGCACTGTAATGTGTAAGAAACGGCCAGCTATTTCAGAGTCATCCATCACAATTTCCTACAAGTCTTGATCTCCAGTCCTGCCTATGTTGAAGTAGGTGGAAAAATCAATGTTAATACTGATGTAAAGCTAGCAAAATTTTATTTTGTACTTAAGACAGAGATCCCACACCTTCGGCATGGTTTTAGGAAAAGAACTGTTCAAATTCTGGAACTGTGTGGAGTAACAGTAAAAGGACATTGTTATTTAGTGGTGGAAATAGTAAATAGGAATCTACTTTCAGCATGGTAAGACATTTTTCTAAGAGAAAACATTTTCTTTTATCAGTTGTTGACTTACTGAGAAGTATCTGGAAAGCATTCAGTAAGTATGCTTAGCAGAATGAAGAGTGCTCCTTTGTACAAAGGCTAAGAACAGTAACAGACATTTAAAATGCAGTAGCCTTTAAAAAAGTTCCGAGCAAACAGCATGTGACAAGAAATCCTCAGTGTAGCAAATTTGGCTTATCATTGGTGAAGCTGGAATACATTCTGGCACTTACACATGCAAAATGGGTAAAACTCACAATGCATTTGTGAGCAGTAGAACCAGCGCATTAGTGCCACCATCAGAATCCCAGAAAAAAGGTACAAAACCTATTATATTACAGATAATGCCTTCCTAAGTCAGCCAGAAGGCTACTGATCTGGGAATTTTTATGTCCAAGTCCAAACTCATGATGCTTGATTTAGAGAGACTGTATTAGCAATGTTACTAATTAACAGGTATGTAAACTACAGGTTGACAGAGTACTTCCTTAACCCATGCGTCTTCAGGCAGGTAGTTCATTCAACACCATTAAACTGCCACAGGATTTATTTTAGAGCAGGCTTGGTTAGCTAAATAAAAACAATTCTTAGGAAAGGCTTGTAATTGACATTTAGCCTCTTACTCGTTCAGTTATCCAAAGGCGAATCTTGAGCTTATACATAGAACATGACCTTAAGGGCATGCTAAGTGTTCTGAAGTGCGGAGGTAGGTGTAACAATATTGACTGTTAAATGTTTGGTACCCAGGGCTTAAATACTTCAACAAAACTGAAAGATAACGAAACAAAGCTGTTGAAGCTAATGCAGACAAAAGGAGAGCTCCACCATTGCAACAGCATCTCTTATAGCCGCCAAAGGGAAGATAGCTATGAGAGGTGAAAACAACGGAGACGCAAAAGCCAAGTGAAAAGACCGAGTATTTATAAGACACAAATTCAGATTAAAAAGCAGCTCAGTGCGCAAGCCTCAGAACATCTGCATTTTCTGAAACGTCGTTTCCCATTATGAGATCGTCTATCAAAATACTCATTCTGAAAATGTTTTGTCACTTTGTTTCCTTCATTATGTCAATGGCAAAGGGAGGGGTATTTTACATGCAGGGATTTTATACATAAATATATTTTTATTTGTAATTAAGCCATTCTCAATAAAGGTTTAAAGTCACAGATAACCCTGTATCATAATGTAGCAAGTGCATTTATTAACTAGCTTATTATGAAAAATGTTGGAAAAATCTTTAGAGAGACGTGTTACGTACTTAACTGGAAATGGCACAGCTGAAATTGTAATTTGGAAAAAAAATTAAGAGTTCAAATATTTATTTCCACTATAAACTCATAGTTGCTAGGCTGTAAATTGTATTCATTCTGCGCTTCCTGAACACCTACTGCGTCACCTGAATCATACAAACCACGATTTCAATATACACTAGTAGCTGAGAACAGCAAATGTGTTGCTATTATCTCTATTCAACAGCTGCGCTGGGTACTGCACAACCACCGAGTATCCTACCGAGTGCAGCTCCAGGGAAGTAGTTTTCATTACCCGCCCCGATCCCTAATAGCATCTCGGGGCTTTCTGTTCACAATGAAAGTACACAACTGCACCAGCCTTGCCTATGCTTTAGCTTGCGTTTCTGTTTTTGCCTCACAGCACAACACCGAGCTTCTGAAGATACTCAAAGCATCCGTCTGCAGCCCTGCTTCTGCACCTTGAAGGAGCCCATCCAAGGCATTGGTCCAACTGGTTGTAACACGTAAAGGGAAACAGAAAGAACCAAAGTGGTCTTGCTTTACACTACCCACAGATCTTCACACAACTAGGACATGTCTGGGGCATTGCTTAGCTCTAACAGAACTGCATCAAACAGCTCGTCATTTTAAAAGAAAGATGGAAACAATTTATGCCTCCTTTCTCCCTAAATTATGCATTTGGGTGGAAGGTGAAAACTGGAAAGCAGAAGTAAACAGACACACAATGCAAAGCTTATGTAAAAATTTTGATGTCCCCTGAACTCATCATCTCCATCACACTATATCACAGTACTGAATAAATTTCATCATCATTTTATATCAATGTATTCCTACCGGATATATTCCTAGTAAGGAACAAAAGTTTGGACTCATCAGTGTAAACGACAAAAAACAAGACCAAGAAGCCATTTTTCAATTAGTTTACTTAACACAATTTTGAATCCTATTATTTAAAAGTTGGTTACAACTATTAATACAACTATTATTTAAAAGTTGGTTACAGGAAATTAAAATGACAACATTAAAACAACAACTTGTGATCCACAGTAAAGCTATCATCCAACAGTACCTTTTAATTCGTTATGTGAGATTTGATTGTAATGAGATGCTCCTTCCTACTCTTTGATGATATTGGGTATAAAATAAGGCTGGACTGCTTCACTGAGCTTGGCTGCATACATTTCATATCTACCAGTCATCTGAAAAAGAAAAATCAAAGCTTCAGTTCTTTTAGTGAGCTATAAAAGTACTTCAGTAGAAGATATAAATATCCACCATTTTTTTAATGACAACCTATTATTTAATTGCCCCAAACAGTAAAATCATAATTCACTCAAAATGCAAGACCTCCAGTGCCTTAGCACAAACTAATATACTTTCATAAAAGAACTCACATTGTGTTGCCTAAAACTATCCTTCTACCCAAAAAAGAGCAGAAGTGCATCTCCACTCTAAAAAGTAAAACTCTAAAAAGAACACCTTCCTGCTTTGCAGCTGTCCTTCATTGACAGTCATGTCTGCTGACTAATTACTTAAGCCTATTTTGGTTGTCATGGATAGCTGAAAGTTGAATGTGAATGGTGGACTTACTCTCTTATGCATCAACAATATTCTCTTTTAAGTAAGTTATGTCAGTGAAGGCCGAGGAGCATCTCTGTAATTACGTCTTCATATTATGTCCTTGACAGCTGGTGAACCCTGCTGCCAGCAATAAGTTTGCACATGTGCCACTGACGGTACTTGGGTTGCTCTTACTTTATCCATGAATAATACGAAATATTATCATTGCTTTGGGTGATACAGTAAGCTAGGAGGCTGAAACACAGCACTTTACGTAGCGCGCTATCCTCTTCTGAAGTGCACAGTCTACAGCACTGGCTCTGAGAGGGGCAAACGACTCCCTTCTTGCCAGAGTGTAACGAGGACAATTTGCTTAGCTCTTTCGGTGCTCTGAGTTTAGCAAAGACATTCTACTCCATGTCCCTTTCAGGCATCATTGAGTGCAAACTGCAGACACCAGAACAGGTTAAATAGGTTCCTACTTGCTATCAAGGATTTTCTGCGGTGGATAAATGATGACTTCATCCTTCCTCATTCACCTCATATCAACAACTACCTCTGTCTTGGCCACAAACGAAAGGAAAAGGAAACAGATATCCCCTGTCATATAAACAAAAGCCACCGCTGTGCCCTTATGTGCCAAAAGACCAACAACAGCAATCCACACCATCAACGTAAAACTAAGGTGCTGAAAGCACAAGACTTGAAGACAACAAAAAATAAGCAATTCTATACAAAACAGTTAAAGGTCAGTGTTTTTACGGTTTGTTTTTCCTAATCAATACAATTGCATTGTTCAGATACCCCTACCTAAGCTGTTATAAGCAATGCTCCATGTGCTTCCTGACGCACTAAATCTCTACTCTGAAATAAGAGCCTCGGACTTCGGTGGCAAAGCAAAACTAAATGCCTGCCTGACTTAAAAAAAACTGGGGATCTCTCAGCACAATTTAATTCCACTATGTCAACAACCACATACCTACCACATGCATCTGTAAAATAACAAATGCAGTTCTGTCCAGAAGACAACCTGAAATTACTTTTTGTCTTTAGCCCCTATATATGGATCGGCAGCATTACCAAAGAAATTCAGCTCTAGCTAAGAAATGACTATGTTTTAATCAAAAGTTTGTTCATCATTTCAAATCCAATTCAAATTTGTATTTTTACATCAAATTGAAATCAAAACACGTTATATATTGCACTGTATTGTAATGCGCAAGGTGGTTCCCAATAAACTAGCTCTAGAAAATAAGTGTCTGCTTGCAGTCACATCATGTGCAAAAACTGACGCTCCTTGCAAATGATTACTTATTTTAAATACTAGATTATCACTGAAGAATCTACATACATTGTGATGGTTGCTAGCCAGGAGTTCTGGTCTACTTTGTTAGGATTCAAATCATGCTGATCTTAAGAGTGGATAGGAAAAAATTCCAGTCTCTAGCAGTACTGAGAACTAGAACAAAAGACCTGTCTCCACAGAAGCAGATGTTTTCTTCATCAATAAAGCCTATTGAAGCAGTTGCCATCTCTTTTCTCCTTTTGCTTGCCTTCTTTGTTGTTCCAACAGAATATTTGTGGGGCCTGCCGTAACTTGATTGGATTAAAAGAAGAAACTAGAGCGTGGTTGGTTTGTTTGTTTGTTTGTTTAAAAAAAAATAAATTAAAAAATCTGGTCACTCTATTAAACCAGTATACAATATAGCACCCCACATAGCTTGTACTGGCACAACCGAAGGGTTAGCAAACTGCAGTGCTGAGGTGGCATTTTCCTAAACCAGCACGGCTGCTGGACAAATTAAATCAAATTACACCCTCAGGACAGATGATCCAAATGCAAAAAAAAAATAGTAATAAGTAAGTTGGCTAAAGCCATGTGGAGAGGCTTGCAGACATCTTAATCTGATTTATATTAACTCAAAAGTGTGTTAGGACGCTTCAGAGATGAATGTACACAGCTCTCCTCTGTGGCTACAACATGTCCACAAATCCCGGGAGTTAACACTGCAAGCAGTTTGCACACAGAAAGTTCTCAGAAGCTGAAAGATTCTTGTGGTTTTGGGTTTTCAATGAATTTCACTAAAACTGACGAATAAGGCCTATAAGAATATAAAGAACTACTATATTAGGTCAGATCAAAGGCCCATCTCAGCTCAGTGGCAAACGCCTACTTACCTTGCGTAAGGAAATGGCCCACACTTCCCCTAGCAGTCCTCGGAGCTCCTGGCAATCCGCACTTAAGGACCAAAGGCTAAGGTTTTCGTTTAAAAGCTACTGGCCTACTTTCCCTGAATTTGGCTATTCCTTCTCTGAATCTACTTATGCCTTTGGCCTCCAGAACATCCTGTTGAATTAGTTCAATAATTTAAGCTTTGGACTGTTTAAAAAAAAAAAAGGTTGCCTTTTAACTATTGTAAGATTACACGATCATTATGAAAGCTTGTTTGTTCTAATATCACATATAAGTTTGTTTCTTTATAAGCAGGCTTACCTTAAAATTCCACTTGTCACTGACTTGTCTGCAAAGATTTAGGTCCATCTCTACCACCAAAAGTCCATCCTGAGTGCGAGAGAGTCCGGGGGTCCTACTGCCATCTGGTGCCGCTACGTAACTTGAGCCATAAAAATGGCCCAAGTCATGGTGTGCTTAAAGAAATTTTTAAAAAGCATGTAATGCCATCTGCAAATAAGCATATGGCTTAACATGCAGTGTCCCATAAAACCTGGCTCAATTTCTTGTGGTTGCTCACTCACTGTGCTTTAAGCAAGATTCATCCCGAAGAGTCACAGCACCACCCTAAGGTAACTGCAGTTTTGCCCAATACTCACTGTCATGCACGGTACAGCTTTCACATATATTGAATTAACAGGAAAAAAAACGCACTACGTGGCCTTTTAAATAATGCATTATTATACTTTTCCATTATTAAGTCTCTGAACTAAAGGCTTTGCTGTCATTGTTTCTTATTCAGACTTTAAATGAATTCTAATTGTCAAATCATACATTTCCAAAACAGCTGACAGAGATGCACCCATTCAATTTTCAATACAAAGTCAGAAGTGAAAACACTTGGATTTGAGGTACAGGAAAAAAAAAAAAAAAAAAATCTTACTTCATATTGCACAACTCTGAGTTGTGCCAAAAATCAGCCACATCTGCTGTACTACTAAGCAATGGATACCACTGACCTTTTTGCTGCAGCTGCTACAAGCACTTAGCTCCAAAACTAGCTAAGAAAAAGGCTCAGTCCCCCTCCAGATTAAGCCAGAAGCTGTCACGGTCGTCACAGGACAAGTTATAGTGTTTCAACATACAAATGAAGTACATGCAAGCAAATCTCATGCTCTTCTTTGAGAACGCTCTTCTTTGAGCGTTCTCTTCTTTAACTTCCAGCAAATCTGTGAAACAGGGCAAAATGGCTTGGCCGGGGATTCAGGCTAGGGCTATTGCTGTTAATCTTAAAACTACAAATAAAATGTCACGCATGCACTGACAACACAGGCTAATTTCTGGGATTTCTGTCTTCCAGTCCTACAATACTGCATTGACTCCAAAATTCTCAGTCCTCTGAAAGTATATAGAAACCTTAGGTGTGAACTTCTGGTGACCATATACTGTGGTACCACCACCTTTAATAGGAAGTGCTGCTTCTCCCCAGCTTACAAAACAGCAGTCTTCAGTAAGGCGGTCGCTAGCTCCCATAGCTGTCACGGGACAGACACTTGCAGGAGAGCGATCGTTTCTTCCGACTTTCTAGTTAACAATTGTTAGCAACCACTGAATGTGATTTCCGAACATACCTTTTCCACCGTCTCCGGAAGTAAAGGCATTTTTGTAGTATTCCTGTGAAACAAGAGGAATCCATAGGTGGCAGTATAATTCCATTTCATTCAAGAAATCCTTGCTAGTCTACCATATTTAGTATGGAAGTTTATATAAATCTATTACGATTTTTTCTGGCATACTATCAGCACAGTCTAGAGGGAGTCATCAGAGGGGTCTAGTTTCTATGATGGATAGGCTAGAAAACAAGATCTTTTTGCATCACTGCCTGTTGTTCATACACTTTGGGGAACACGTCTCCTATCAGTTTCACAAGTCTAAAGAAGAGGGAAAAGAGGAGACATTTAACCAAACGCATCCTTGCGGATCACAAAAGAAGGCAAGTATGTTCACATCAACGGCAAGAACAAGTCTGGATTTTTGCAGGGAACCTTATAAAAGAACACACATGTAGGGTATTTGGACTAATCTGAAAGCAAGATTGTGCGCAATATTAATTTTCATTACAGAATTTCAGTGTCCAGAAAGAGGTAGTACAACAGCAACCAGTTGTGTACCACTGACTTCAGGATATATTTCATTTTCAGTCAGTTTGGCTGAAAGAATACCGATTTCACCATAGAAACTAGGAGAATTAGCAAAAGGGCGGGTGCCTGTTGCAAAGGGAGCAATTCAAGAACAGGAAGCAGCTGCAACCAAGAAGCAGGCTGCCAGCAACAAGGCAGCTCTCAATCTCTTTATCACTGTCCACCTTCAAGTCATATTATAAACACTAATACAGCAGTTATACAGGAGGAATCTGTGCATTCTAGTGCTGTTCAGTTCATTACCTTGAATTAACTCGCGCTACAATAGCTGAATTACGCAATGAAATAAGGAAGATACACACCGTTCCTACCCTGTTGATGGGACAGGTAAAGCAGTGATTAGCTATGGCAGCATTTCTTGCTTCAATTGGCCACAGGGACTCGCTGCAACACACAAAAGAGGCAGGTATTCCCTACCGGTCCACTTCAGAGCTAAATTTAGATTGTGACTGTCTCGCACGTTACGTTTTCTGTCAAAGAAGCCAAAGTTAGCGGCTAGGACTGATCTTGCTCTTACAATCAAAATCTCCCCACAGATACAGCCAAGCACTATAATTATTTTCTGCTCAAATATAGGTATAAACAATTCTATCCGATAACCCGGTAAATATGGCTTTGTCATGGGAAAGAAAAAAAAAAAAAAAGAAAAAAACTAACACATCTCAAGATTTTCAAAGCAATTAAAGTGTAATACATTTTACTCTCCAAATTATGCAAAAGATTTACACATGTGCTTTCACATTCCATTAACTTTCGATATACCAAACATCACTCTGCAGCAAAGCTGTAAGAGATTCATGCAAATTGCCTCCTTTTTTCCCAAAATGGCCCAGGAGAGGCTTTTGCAGCAGTGAATGAAAAAAAAAATTAATGATGGGAATAATAAAAAAAAAAGAAAGGAAAAGAAAAATCCATTTCCACCAAAATTTCCTACTTCCGTTATTTCAACTACAGTTTTCATAGCACTTTCCAGTAAGTCATTTTCCCACGGTGGGCTGATGAAAAAGAAAGCACGTTTAACAAAAGCACCCCGATAACTTCCCAGTAATTATCTATTAAACCAGTCGCTAAATTTACATAAAACCAAGAACTGAGAAAGGAGGAATAAAAAATTCCTTCTCTTTTCCAAGGCTCTACCTCTTTTCCAAAGGAGATTTCAATTCCGACTAATGGTTAAAACTGAAATAGTCTTCTTTTTATTAAATAGTTTGCTACACAGGGATCGGACTAGTTAATAGGAGGGCTGGAAGTACTCAGAGCTGCAAAACAAAGGTGATACAATTTGTACATTCCTGTGACAGCGTGTACCTGCCAGATTCTGAGTACCGAGACAAGGTTGCAAGCATCTGACTCATTAATCTCCCGGGCAGACTCAAGAATCCTGAGACGGTCACTGGACTGATTGCAAGGACTTGGTTTATTGCCTCTTTTCTCAATTGCTTTGAGTCTGGCAGCCAGCTCTTCTAAGAAAAAGGGATTTTATTGAAAAGCTCCAGCAAATTACAATTTCACAGAAGAGGAGAGACAGGAAAAAAAGGCTATAGCCAAGAAGCAACCCCAGAGACAGTTTTTTACACGGGCCTCAAGAGTCTTCTTCCTGCAATAAAAATTATATGCTTAAAAACAATCAGTGAAAGCCAATAATTAGGAGAGCCTGAAGCACCGAAAGTACCAATGAAGTGCTGTATGACAACAGGGTAATTTCTGTTTGCTCTCCTGCTAATGGGCCATAAGTGGACAAACATCACAAATATTATTCTAGTAGTGACATAAATGCCCCAAAAGCATTGTGCATTCATTCAACTCTTTTCAAAGGACATTTTCCAACATTACCCAACCTAAATTATCTTTTGTACCAAAAACTATTAAAGGCAGTTTGAATGACCGAATACTGCATCTAACCTACAGTTCTGCTCTCCAGGTTTGTAAATACTTGGTTCTCTGCATCTGAACTGGCTGTGGGTATGAAAATTTTATGCCTCTAATCTGTTCTTCCCCATTTCTACCCTTTTATGAATGCTTAATGTCCTCAGAATTTTCTAGCTGGTCAGCAAGAAAAACTGGATGAATACTCTTGGGCCTTGTCACAGAGGCAGAAAAACTCCAAATTTACATTAAACAGCTAAAGAGAGGGGATTGGTTGAATCCTGAAGAAATGGAAAATGCTAAAAGAGATATTCCTCTTACATTTCTAACTCTTCTACTGTCTTGTATACCCCGTCAGCAAGTCTATATTGCCTGAACATTTCATACATCAAGGTTTACAAAACTGACACTGGAAAAATCTCTTCCTCTAGGTTTAAAGAAATAAAAATGAAAGTATCCTGTAATTAGCCCACACACACAAGACCAGCTGAAGGGAGAGAGTAGAGAAATGAGACAGAATTTTTAGTATTATAAGAGATCAGTATGTCTTTTTTTGTTTGCTATTGGATATTATACTTGTATTACAATATTATCGGTAACAATGAAATACGCTCCTGTTAGCTTCCTGAAACTTGTCTTTGGAGCTGGAAACTCAAAGACAGTTCAGCTAGCCCAAAATATGGGTTTTTAACTCACAAAGGAAATGTTTTTGTTCCAAAGAACTCTGCAAAGGCACTTCCCCCCCGCCCTGTACAAAGCTAACCACTTATTCTGAAAAGGGTTAAAAACATTAATATTTATAATTAAGCATAAACTACCATCACTTCCTCAGTCATATGTATGTAAATATTATACAATAATAAATTACTTTTCAGAGCCTACTGCTATCAGGGGAAAAAAAAAAGAAAAAAAAACCAAAAAGAGAAAGCACAGTTGTTCTATCATGTCTTAAGCTGATGTGTAGACACACACCTCCATTTACAAATAGTCTAATTTGGAATTTGAAAGTATTGAGTAGCACAGCAAAAAACAGAATACGATGAGAATGACAGGAAGGCATGGTGATTTTGTAAGGAGGAGTATAAAAACCACTGAAACCATTTCCACCAGGTTTCTACCTAAAGAAAGCCCCCCCTCCGGCCCCAAAGAAATGCAGTTATTTTGCATCACGTTGCAGTATCCCGAGCAATACACAGCCTGTGTCAGACAATGCTTTGGAAGCACGGCACATTCAGAGGTTATTATGTTGAAACGTGACCGATGCGGATAATGTAGAGGCAAAGAATATTCAACATCTAATCCACAAATTAATCATTATGGGCTAGCTAAGAAGCGTATTTTCTTAGCTCACTGAGCTGGCTTTCTTTTAGGAAGTCAAGTCAGCAGGGTGCAATTAATGTCAATCTGCAGAAGATTAATCTCAAGGGAAACAGTTTACACTGGTTCAGTCTGGTTCAAGAGGCCTGATAATCACAAAATTGCCAACAGTTAAAGAAAAAAAAAATGTTTTTGAGAACAGGGTTTCTCAGCTTGGCTCTGAAAACTGCAATTTGATACCACACTTATTGGCTCCTAGGTGGACCATGCAAGCTGGCAAGCTAAGCCCGAATGTAAATTACTACTGCCTATCATAAAGCAAAAATATCATGTACCTAAATAAACTCTCCTTGATTTTCAGAACACCAGCTGGATGGTGGCTAACTTTGTCTCAGAGACAAAAGACCTGCAGATACACAACTAAAGTTCTAGAAGAGAATTAGTGACCATGAGCAGACTGGTAGCCCAAAACTCCAGATGGAGAAGAACGTAGATTCCTTCCTGAAGGCAAAACAAAGAGGTGATACCTCAGGTTCCAAGACCTCAGCAAGGTGTCCCTGAGGCCCCAGCGAGGGGCTCCAAGGTTCAGTTAACCCAGAAAGCATGCGACCGCCTAAATCAGTTTGCATTTTACCTGAGCATTCCAATAGTGGCTGAAGGGTTAAAGATGATCTCTGCTCCATTCATGCTAAACATGAGCCAGTTCAGAGGGTGATGGCGCCCATAGCAGATATTCACAGCAATTGTTCCAAACTGTGTCTGAAACACTGGGTGTCCTGTATTTCCTTCCATATAGTAAGTAGACTACAAACAAACAAAAAACCACAAATGCAGACTTCTTAAAAAAGCGAAAAGAAATACCTCCAACATTGCTTTGACACTTCCCAATTACCAGCTTCAAGTCATTAGACCACGAGCGAGGACACCACCTTTCATTTAGTAGGTAGCTGTACTGTAATGGGTATATAGCAAACAGCAGCGCTCTCAGGCTGCGGAGATCAAATTCAAGCCCCTTTCTGTCTCCCTTCACTCATACCACACCTAAGCGCTGTCTGACTTTGACACAAACACTTCTGTTAATGCTAGAAACTCCTACAGAAGCTTAAGAGAGATCCACAAATTGCCCAACTTTAGGCACCTCTCTCAGTACTTTCACCACATAAGAAAATTTTCTTAAGTCATCATGATCCTTTGATTCTGATTAAAAAGAGAGATGGTGAACGCTGTTTAAAGAACACGGAACTCCTTTACATCCACCTGTTATGTAATGACATGCAGTAATTTTATGAATGCTATAAGCAAATATCAGTCTATAGCTGAGATTGGTTATTTAAATTTCCTATATGCCTATTGCTCTAAACAAACAGAAGGCTTGAAACTACCACCAGGAAAATCACAGGATAAATCTAGAGAACATTCCTTAAAGAAACTGGAGCCAACTGTTGGTTTAAAAGATCTCGTTTACCATATGCTGCGAACATTCATCTTATCATATTAAACATTTCTGAACAATTGGAAACGCACTGGTTCCTGTAAAAGGCACTAGTGAAGAGAAGGACAGGGCATTGCTAACAGCTATCAAGAGACAAACATTGACAGAGATATTCTAAATGGAATGCACAGAAATGGTTCTTCCCAGACACAAGAGAAGGGTATGTGTGGAGCCACTGACAGTCGCCTGCTTAGTGCTCAGTGCTAGTCAAAAACCCAAGAAAATCTCAGACATCAAGAGGAAGAGTACTGAAATGTAACAGAAAACACCATTTTGCTGGTTTATAAGAATTCTGTGCGCCCATGACTTGAGTACTCTGGGTAATCCTAGTGTCTGCATCTCAATAAGGACATACCAGACAGGGAATAAGCAAAGGCAACTGAAACGATGAAGGGGATGGGGCAGCGCCCTTGTGAGGAGCAACTAAAAAGGCTCTTCAATCTGCAGACAGAAGGCTGAGGGCAATATTATGAATGAGATTTACAAAATCACAAAGGCAGCGGATAACATGAATACAGAAATCCCAAAGCAGCAGCGGGTATCGACTGAAATGACACTCTTGTACCTGTTTTCAAACAAAGTAACTTTTTTCATGCAGCAGGCAGTGCACTTCTGAAATGTGCTTCTTGTGAAAGCAGGTATTACCACCAGGTTCAGAAGGGATTAGACAAAGTCATTCATAAAAGAACCGCAGATAAGAAACGAAATAGACAGGACACGCCACCCAGCATCCCTAATACAATGAGCATGGACACCGAGGGAGTACGAGAGTTGCAGAGCAGCCAGACTTACTCCTAATAGTACCTTTTTGTGATGGTCTCGGAGACAGAAAAGCAAGATACCTCATCCACCAGCCTGACCCAATGGGGCGTGACTCTTATAGTATAAGAAAGGTGTGTTGTAAAACAATCCCCTTTTTATTGAAACTATCTGTCCATTTTAACAACCACTGCTATTGGTCTTGAAGGAAGCAGAACCACATCAGGCCTAAAGCACGCACAGTCACAGCTGGGGAACAAACTAGGGCCTCACCTCAGTGTAGGAGAATGGCACAACAGACACAGGGGGCCATCTTCTGAAACCAAGAAGGACTAGAGGCTCAGCATGCCCAGTTAAGTGTCACATCTCATGTTCCTTATTTATTATCAGGTCTCATGAATTTGCAGTTCCTTGGGCACTGATGTTTAATCTCGTTTCATGTCTGCAGAGAGCACACCACGTGGTGGGCACTCACACAAACCTTTTTCAAAACAATTCCGCTGATTGAATATATTTCCATTTTTCTTCTATTCTCAGTTTTCTTTTATTACAATAGGAGAAGAAAAACAAAAATGCTGTTGCTTCAGGGAATTCATCAGTTCTTACTTCTTTATTACTCACCAGAGTTCACAAACATCTCCACAGCAACAAACCACGATGTCTCATGAAGGACTGATTTCTGTTTATTTATATGCCGTCCCACACATGGCTGAATAGGCTACAGACCAATCTCTTTCCCCTTTCCATTTAGTTCTCACCAATTCAACAAGGATGACTTTAACAAGGCTCCTTTCCCTATCTGCTCTACAGAGATAACCCACAAAAAGTCATTTCAAATTCAACCCTTCCTTCGGGGTTAACTTTGTTGATAAAGAAAACAACATTAAAGTAACAGCAATGAGCATAAGCCTTCTCTGTAGTCTTGGTGGTTTCTAAAGTTCCTCTATCAGAATTGCTCAGCTCAGAAGAACGGACTTAATGCTTTGCTAACAAACCTAGCTAAAAAGACAGCACTGTTTTGGGTAAACACTACTTGCTTCTATAATGAGGTAGATACAACAAGAAATGTCAGATCATTATACTATACCTGCAAGATATAGATTGTTTTGTGCTAATTCTGGCATTTAGGATTGTAAGAACTAACTCTTTTTAGGAATTACGCAAAACTCTTAAAAAAAGTGAAACTATTTATACTTCACGCAGAAAAGTAAAAATATTTTCTAGGTGCCTTTCATTACAGTTTCATAGCTGGAAACAAGAAGTTTCTTGGAGTCTGTTGATGCTCCACAAAACACTGTCTGGAAAACTGAAAGACATCATATTTTAGCACAAGCAACAGGAATTTATTTTTTGTTTGATTCCACAAGGAGCAAATCAATAATGTGGAAAGTAACCAAAATTCATTTTTATTAGTGCTTGTATTTTATGTGGGTTTGTTAGTTACTGTTTTGCTAGCTAAAAGGCAGGTCCAATAAAATAATATTAAATATCAAAATAATTGTTAAAGATAGAAGTCAACACTGGTGACTGACAAGCCTGTGCCAGAAATCCATTGTGTAGAAACCTATTAACAGCCTCCTCTGAAGAAACACAAACCAGTCTGATCAGGTCTGGAAGCCCAGGTCAAAACTTCCAGAGGTCTTTGAACACAAAGTTTCAAGACACAAAAAAACTTTAAAAATTAATAAAAAAGCAGCTGGGATTCTGAAGCCTTAGACAGGGAACAAAAGCAACTGCAGGTACATAGCCCCCAGTGCTTAGGAGAAATGTCTCTGTTAATTACTCACTTTAGCTGACAAGGAGAGATTTAGTTAGGTAAGGCAATGTATTTTTAGACTTTGGTTAATTTTTAATCCTGATCTTTCTGCTTGTGATAAGTCTATGGGTGGATAAACACATTTCAGATGTACCAGTTTTCTCCTGCCATTCCCTTTACTACCAATTCAGTTTCTGAAGCTGATTCTGGAGCACGGTCTAAAAACTGCTGGGGGCTTCAGTGGAAGTAATGTGATTAGTAAACAGAAGATGCCATAAACCAGCTATTCAGTCAGAAGCATAACAAATTAAGGGATTCTGCTCAAAGAAACATAAGCAAAAGAAGTGTCATTTCCAAGACAACCTCACAGAGACACAGAGATCAAACCCATAAATAATGCTCACACCTGAGCCATGAAACAATTGCCTTCCAAATTAAAAGAAGTTCAACACGCACACATGCAAAAACCATCTGAGCCAAACATGCACGACTAACGTAACAAAGCTGTGACTTACAGAATTTTGTTTTAAAGATCCTTGATACTTGTGTAGCTTCCATCAGGCCAAGGAAGAGTACATGACAAAGACTCAATGTTATTTGTCCTTTAAGAGTCATCACTCTCTATTCTTGACAACTTAACTTACTATAATGTCACCCAAGAAAACCTGATTTGACACTTTATGAACCACATTTTCTAGAAATACATTACGTTTCCTGCCAATAGGACTCTGATACAACACACGCTGACACAAACAAGAGCTGCAACGTAAGACTAGCTTGATAGTCACAATACTGCGTCTTACCTCATTGAAATCTCCAATCCTCGGAATGTGATTCTTCCTACTTTTGCCAAGGACAGCTCCAGAATTAGAAATGACCACTGCAGCGTTCCACAGAGTTTCCCCGTGTATTTCATCTCGCTCCAGGATTGGAGACACCACAACCATATTGTATTTCTTTGCCAGCTATACAAATGAACACAATTCTCCTATTATACACAAGCCTGCGATAATTATTTTCGGTTTTTGTTCATAAAGAAGGATTAAAAAAAGTTTTCCTCTCGTACATTACTCTGTTACCATCAATGACATCTTGTGTCATTTCACAGCAAGATGCAAAAGCTATGTGTGAAAGTGTTCCCTGTTCAGAAAAGGCTAGCTATTCTTCTCCTCACACCTTCATACAAGCATTGTTTAATGCTCAACTGTTCTAGGCAAGAAACACCTTTTAAATGGAAATTAAGAATTCTTCTATGAAGAATCGTTCCTTCCTTGTAAAATTCTGGAATAGTTAAATGGGAAGTTTCATATGCCTTCCATGGTATAAGTCAGCCTATAAATACAAAGTAGTTTAAAAAATAAATATTGAGCACAGTTGTTATTGTCCATTTCTACTTCACTCACTATCATAATATTTGTCAAGCAAGGTGAAAATTTATTTTTGATTATTTCAGTCTTCTCAGTGGTAGAAGACCACTACATAAAGAAGAAACCCATGCTAATCAGTGGCAGTTATGGGCCGGGGCTGGAGGCTGGATGTGGGGGTTTTTTTGCTTGGTTGTTTTTTTACCTCTTGGCAGAATTTTGTTGTTGGCCCATCCTCTGCTGACTCAGCAAACTCCGTCCAAGGAAGCTTCTCTCTTGTACAAAAAGCAAAGGGCATGGCTGGAAAACACCAACGCAAGACAAAATTTACAAGAATGTTCATGTCACTCAAGAAATACACACTGTTTGCATGAACACAGATAAAAAATTAAACACTTAAGAAAGATTCAACTGTCTTCTTTGTTTAAAGGCAAAAGCTATTTAAAAGTATTTTTAGCAAGAGAAGGAGTTTTGGGCCCACACAGAACAAAGAAGAAGAGAAAGAATGAACTTAGTGAAGTCTTACTGGAGGTAAAAATACAAAACACACCTCAGTCACTAGTGTACACTTTCTGTGAACAACCTCTTTTCACAACTCGGGCCTTCATTTTGGTTTTTGCCTCTATGAAGCCTCAAAGTCTCCATTTAAATGAAAATTAGATTTTTTTAATTTTAGTATCTGTCTAGAAAAACCCCAAGTTTTGGAAGAAAAAAAAAAATGAGGAAAGGATCACGAAGGATGACATGAAGAAGGAGCACACCTACAAGTATCACTGTTGCAGCATACGCCAGTCTTCGGCGTAACAGACTTCACATACATCTTCCATACAGTTCTGCTATCTAATACTCTTTGTTTTCTCCTTTAGAAAGCAAATCAGTAAAGTCAACTGTTGTATCTTGGAAGATCTCTGCTCTTCACTTACAAGACATACTTCTAGTACAGGACACTTGTTAAAACAGAAGGGACTTGACCTCTGACAACCTAGAAGGAATCACAGAAAATACTCACTCCAAGCCTCCTGGAAACAAACTATGTTGACCCCACATATTGCAGCTACTTCCACAATCTCCTCAATTCGTCGGTGCAGTGCAGCCACCTGATTGCGAGAAGTATCACGCTATGAAAAAAGCTCTACATTCTAACTCACTTTTACATTAATAGCCTGGTTTTATAAGCTTTGTTCACATTAAATTTATCTTATTCTATACTTAGTCCCATTGCTTTCAGGTGGAATAACTCAAGAAGTTATCATCCCTGAGCACTGATAATAGAAAGAGTTAGATACAGATTTTTAAAAGCATTTAGATGCTGAAAATAGAGAAAGCGATCCAATGGAATTCTAATTCCATGGTTACAACATTTAAATATATGGCAACGCACTGCTGACTGACTTGCAAATAGCCGAAAATCTTAACAAAATCAGCAGAAATTACAATTTTGCTGCTCATCATAAAAAACCTACAGAACGATGTTAAGTAAACGTGAATTCAAAGTCAAGTACTCAGAATCTTAAAGCATGAGGTAAGGACAGTCCATTTCCTTGGTTATCTCCGAATCCTGCTCGCACACGTGGATCTTGGACACTCTCTAGAAGTCATTAAGTCCAAACTATTTTCTAAATCCCTTTGTCCAAAGAGCTAAGTACAAAGAGCCAAGTAGATTATTACCAAGAAAAAGCATCAAAGCCTTTATTAATTAGTCAAAAAACATTGTTTCCAAGTACTTCCTTCTTGAGCATTGTACTAATATAAGCATAGGTGTAGCACTTTGCATTGATACTTTCAGGTGTCAATAAAAAAAAAAAAAAAAAAAAAAAAAAAAAAAAAAAAAAAAAAAAAAAAAAAAAAAAAAAAAAAAAAAAAAAAAAAAAAAAAAAGGACACAATTCAAGTCAACAGTGACCTACAAGCTCAACAACTCTACACTGCTTTACAGAAATAGTTAACTAGTTATATATAAGGTAAAAAAATCATTAATATAACTGGTAGTCTTTTTAACAGATGCTACAAAGAATGCACAAACTTGATCCGTATACTGAATTAATGACTTGCATCTGTGACAGGTAATCTTTCCAAAACAAATTACCTCAGAAATGTTCTGTCCTGTCACTTTACAAAACTACTGCTCCAGGAGATTTTATAAATGTGGTATTTTCTTTCACTTTTTTAAAGCTACTTTTAGGAGGCTAGTTCTATCTATGTCACCCCCGTGCTTTTGTGTCCAAGATATCAGGAGATGATGGTCACCTTGTAATAGGATTTGGGTTACTGCTGGACAAAGAATAATGAACACAGCTTCATTAATCTGTGTTTACTCTAATGGATTTTCCTATAATGGAACATTTCTCAATTAAAACAAGAACTGCACCTGTGGTTTCCATGGGTTGCCATCTCTTTTGATTTCGGGTAAATGATTTTCTGTTTCATTTTAGAGGCAAAGGATTTTCATGTACAAAATCAGTGACTAAATATTTAGCTTTGGAAAAACTGCAAACAGGTTGGGCAATTCACTAGGTAAACATGACACAAGAGATATTTCTGAGAAACAATAGAACTGAATGTATCATGCAAATTTCTTACAGTATGCTGTATTAAGATAGTGATGGGTCCTATATTGCCGGACAAGGAGAGACATTTCATAATGGAGTTTCTAACACCAACAACTGAAGCGTGTTATTTCTCAATCCAGTAGAAGAGGAGTTACCCACAAACGGCCCAGATCCCAGTCGGTGTACCTGGACTGCCACGGCTGTGTCTGTGGGAAGTGGAATTTTATTTTGTACCAGTCCTACTCGAACAATACGCGGCCTTCTCAATTGCTCTGGAGCAGCTTCAAATCCATAGCCCCGCAGCTCAAAATCTCTTTCCCGAGCTGCTGATAGAGCAGCAGCTGGCAAATCAAGTTTTCTGGATTGAACAGGAAACAAAGACATTTTAAGGTGAGATGTTCTTCTTTTCTGCTCTGAAAGCAACGGATCAAAAGGATCACAAATGCTGTCTACCCCTGCAGAGCCACCCGAGCTCCCGTGCCCCCATACACAACTACCAGGCAAGGGAACAGTCAGTCAGTAGCCAGGTCTTCTGCAAATCTCACTGCTCTCCTCCATGGCACCAAACTCCCAGTGTCCTCCTCTAGAACTGGGATTTCCAGACACTATTACCTTGCTACAGAAATCAAGGAGCACATACATACAAACATTCATCTGCCACCCCCAGATCATAAACACTTTCCCTCCAACGTGTTTTTCCTCCTGTTAGATCCCCGCTTTTCCAGCTCCCTCACCGGGAAGCCACGACCCCCGCAGCCCCCCCTCAAAGCTATCCCACTCGGCTCTTTCACTCCAGTCAGCCGCCTTCCCGCCGACCTCTGCCTCCCAAGCCTGGATTACCTCCAAACCACCCCGCTTCTCTCCCCACAGCCTAACCTCACCGCAGTGCCACAAGCACCACAGGACCTACCCCTCTTTTTCCTTTTAGCCCAGCCCTGTGTCCTGCGCACCCGTCCTCAAACCG